ATGTCCATCACACGAGGCAAGTACTCATCTGCTTTCGCATTAATCTCCTTTGAAGACCACAAAAACTCAACTTTTCCATTGTCCAAATTCATCCAAGCAGCCCTCCATATCTCTATCATGTAGTGCCCAACAGTCTCTTATCTTTTTCAAATCACCCCCCATCTTATTGTTTAGCATTGCAAACCAATCTGCAATCCATATTTTCACTCTGCAGCCAGCAGAGGTCATCTTGTTCGCATTTATCGTCTTCATAACTCCCTACACAACAACACATTTGAACCACAATGATATAATGAAACCATGCCCTTAAGTTTCTTACTACAATTATTCTTTCAAAACACAAGAAAGTCCGTTGCAATCCAAATAACCAATACACGAGAATAACACACTGCAGAATCTCAATTTGAGTATCTTCTCTCCACACAAAAATATCAAATCTTGTTCAAAATCAACTATTGAAATTTACAAATATATAATCAACATCAATTATGTGTTATGAATTTTATGATTGTTAAAGAAAATTTGAAAAAACACATGAGCAATATGCATTCGACTGGAGGGTTCAAACCCATCATTCGAACTTATGAGCCAGCAAATTCCGAAGCTCGTCCTCTTGAATACATTCCTCTGCCACGCTCCTCAACATCTGGTACTTCTCCTCCAAACTCATTCTTCACCAAATCACACCCACAAGTTTGAAGTAAGTTCAGATCAACGGAAAAAATTGGAAACGATAAGAAAATGATAAGAAAAGCGAGAGAAGCTTACTGGATGGTTGGATTTGAAGAGCTGGATGGTGAAGCCTCGGAAATTGAAAGAGATTGGACTCCATCGGCTTGGGGGGCTTGCTCTGGTGCTTCAGTCGCCATTGGAGACGTTAAGGGTGAAGCTTTCCCAAAGAAGGAAAGGGGAAGAAAAAGAGAAAAAAAAAACAGTGAAGGAAAAGAAGAAGAAAATAGGAGGAAAGAGAGAAAAAGAGAAAAAGAAGAACAAAAGAAAAAAAAAAAAAGAGAAACAGAGAGAGAAGAAGAGAAGAAAAGAACGGGGCCGAAGGGAAAGAAGAAGAAGAAAAGAAAGAGAGAAGGGAAGGAAAAAAAAAATATATATATTTAATAATTTTGGATTCATTTGACGATTATATCCTTGAATTTAACAGTTTTTTTGACAGAGAGACTATTTAAGAGCACCTATATTAACGTTAGAGACCATGAGTGATACAAAAAAACTTTAAGGATGCAATGTGATAGTTTCGCAAACGTCAGGGACGTTTTGTGATAATAAGCCTATATTATAATCAGACAGAGACGTGCGAACTAAAGCCTAACTAAGCACAACCAATGGCAACCACATTTATTATTAATACCAATATTCTGCATAGACTATAACTCAATCAATATTCTGTATTCCAAATGAATATTTCCATGGTTCATTCGATTACTAAATGAATTAGAACATTGTTGTGGACCCACAATTGACGGACTCCTTATGGTTTTGTCTTGTATGAACATGTTGCTCTGTTTTAGCTTACACCGTACTTTTCAACTAATTACAAATGCATACTTTTCATTGTGAAGGCTTTCCTTTTGTTTCTCTATATATATGGAGAAGCACGGAGACAACCATATATCAATATACTTTCAGTGTTTGCATGTGCAAGTGCTTTGGTTGTGCTCCATCTTCGACATTATATTATATTCCATTTTTGATGAGCACATAAATTATCATGTTTATTATCCCTAAATATATTTGTTAGTAGTTTATTTTCTTACAATTTTAGTTAATTAGGAATGTTTTTCACTTATTTACTTGCTTACATACCCATTACATAATTGATGATGATTTCATTATTTTATCTTAAGGTTGAAGAATTATCAAAGGGAGATTTGGTGGCATTAAACAATTTGTAGTTGGGAATGACCAAATGAATGATGAAGATTAGTGCCACACCAAGGCATAAAAGAAAAGAAGCAATGGATGGAGCAACCAATGAAACAAAAAGATGAAGAATTTGGAGAATGGAGTCATCAACACTATGGAATAAGTAAAGGAAGCAAATTGGCAATTGGTTTGATGGCAAGTGGAAGACATATTAAATTCATGAATGGAGGGATTTGATGAATTTAGAATTGCTCCCATTTGGAGCTACGGCATTGTAAAACACACACTAAGCTCCACAACTCTTGAGCTTTCTCTCTTCCCTCCATCTTTCTAAGTTTTAATTTCTGTTTTTAGTTTTATTTTATTATGGGGAACTAACTCCCTAGCTAAGGCTAGGGAGAAAGCTTTTAATATAAGTGTGTAATTTTTATTAGTTTGATCCAAACTTAAGCTTTAATGTGAATTTGTAGTTTTTGTTCAAATGGAATTTGTAGTTTTCTTTTTAATTAATTGATGAATGTTTGATAATCTATTTCATGGGTTCAATCATGTTTTTCCCATTGTGTAGTAAAAACTTTCATGCTTTTAAAAGAGAAGAGAATTACCAAAGATTAATAGAATTTTGATGAAGATTATTTTTTGATAGTTTGTTGCCAATGGTACAAGTTATGCTTAGAATACTTCTAAAGGAAATTAAAAAGAACTTTAATTATTTTGAACAACTACAATGGAAAATATTTTGTTGATCAAATTATTAAGAGTTGCATGCTTATGTTAAAAGTGGAAACCCAATGCCTTAGTGTTTTAATCAATTGAATTTTCTTGAAATCAAATCTTGCATAAATCTACTTTTCAATCATAATTGTTCTTTTTCAGCTCTGTTATCTTTACACCGCTCTCTGTGGATACGACACTCGGACTTCCGAGCTACACTGCTATACGACACCTCCCTTGGGTTTTGCAAAAGTGGTAGTAACAATTTTCATAAACACTAAACAGTTGTGCCTATTCGACATATCTTCCATTGGCATTTGAATCTATAAACATGCAGGGTCACAGAAGGTGCTTGAAACTCTTTCTTGCATTTGCGCTGCTTTTGCTACAGTACGCTCAAGGAGGAGAGGTGGACCACAGTCAGAGGGATACTAACGTGACCAGAAGGTGCATAGAGAGGGAGAGGCAAGCACTCCTTGCATTCAAACGTGGCCTGGTGGATGAGGACAATAGCCTCTCTTCATGGGGTTCCGAAGCCCAGAAACAAGATTGTTGCAGATGGATAGGAGTCTATTGCAGCAACCAAACAGGTCATGTTATTGGACTTGACCTTTCATACAAAGTTATAAGCATATATCATTATTTGCAAGGTAGGATGATTAGTCCTCAAGTGGTTGAGTTGCAGCATTTACAACATTTGGACCTTCATGGGATTAATTTCAATGGGAGCCAAATTCCAGATATCATTGGTTCTCTATCCAATTTAAGATACCTTGATCTGTCTTGGACTTATTTTCGAGGGAAGTTTCCAAGTCAGGTCGGAAATCTTACGAACTTGGTGTATCTGGACTTAAGTGCTAATCGCTTTACAAATTTAGAAAATCTGGATTGGCTTCCTCTTCTTTCGTCATTAAGATATTTGGACTTGAGTTTTGCAAATCTCAGCAATGTTTTTGATTGGCCGGAAGCCGTTAATAAGCTTCCTGAATTAACAAACTTGACACTACTGGACTGTGATCTTCCTTCTCCAATACTATCCACTCTTTCTTACATAAACTCTTCTAAATCTCTTGTTAGTGTTTGGCTCCCTTTCAACCATTTGAATACTTCTTCAATATTTCTATGGTTGTCCAACTATAATACCAGCCTTGTTGATCTTGTCCTCTCTTTTAACCAACTAGCCGGTTCAATTCCTAATGTTTTAGGAAACATGAGCTCTCTGTCACCTCTTGATCTCACTTTAAACCAATTTGTAGGAGGGGACCCGCATTCTTTTGCCGGGTTATGTAGTTTGCAATAATTAGATCTCAGAAGGAATCATCTGAGTGGACAACTTTCTAAGTTTGTTCAAATATTATTCTCTACATATGCTCAAAACGCATTGGAGATTTTGGATCTCTCCGAGAATGATCTTGCAGGGTCATTACCCGATCTTACACACCTTTCATCTTTGGACCTCTTGACTATTAGTAACAATCAATTAAGCAGAGGAATACCTGAAAGCATAGGGCTAATGTCGAAGCTCCAAACTATGGATTTTGGTGGGAATTCTTTGGAAGGAGTGATTTCAGGAACTCATTTCTCAAAACTCTCCAAATTACAGAATTTGGATCTATCTTCTAACTTGCTAGTTTTAGACATCCATCCTGATTGGATTCCTCCTTTCCAACTGGTCTCCATAGCCTTGGGGTCTTGCAAGATGGGTCCGGATTTCCCAAAGTGGCTTCAAACTCAAAAAAAATTATATTCCCTTGATATTTCTGATGCTGGAATTTCCGACATCTTTCCAAGTTGGTTTTGGAGTTTATGTCGTAATGTGACATTTATGAATCTCGCAAGCAACCAAATTGGAGGTACATTTGCAAATTTGACATTGGAATTTTCATATTTCCCTGAACTACATCTAAGTTCGAACAAGTTGGAAGGTCCAATCCCCTCAATTCTATCAAAAGCCTCATATCTGGATCTCTCTTATAATAAACTTTCAGGGTCAATTTCGTTCTTGGGTTCAAGTGCAGCTTTTGGTTTAAGCTTTCTTGACCTCTCAAACAACAATGTTTCTGGACAAGTTCCAGATTGCTTGACACACTTGGAGAATCTAGTCATGCTTGATTTGAGTTACAATGCTTTGTCTGGGAAAATTCCTACAACAATGGGCTCCGTATTTCGGATTCAAACACTCAAATTAAGAAGCAATAAATTTGTGGGACAATTGCCATCGTCGTTGAAGAATTGCACAAGTTTAGTAGTTGTTGATGTTGTGGATAATAAATTATCCGGACCGATACCTAAATGGTTAGAGGTTAGCTTAAAGAATTTGGTTATCCTGATGCTATCGTCTAATCACTTCAGTGGAGGCTTGCCCTCACAAATATGCCATCTAACACACATTCAAAATTTGGATTTCTCCATGAACATCATCTCTGGAAGCATACCCAAATGCCTCACCAATTTAACTACTCTGGCTCAGAAAGGAAATTCAAGTATGAAAATCTCACATTTTTTTGAAATTTCTACTGATCAACATGAATTTACTAGAAATGACTATGAGGATGATGCAACATTCATATGGAAAGGAGGAATGAAGACATACAAAAATACTTTGGGGCTTGTGAAGAGAATTGATCCATCAAGCAATAAATTAACAAGGGAGATTCCAAGTGAAATCACTCATCTTGTTGGGTTGGTTTCTTTAAATCTATCGAGAAACCAATTAACAAGTCAAATAACTCCAGAGATCGGAAACTTGCAGTCACTGGATTCTCTTGATTTGTCAAGAAACCATATAGACGGAAGAATTCCAACAAGCCTTGCTAGGATAGATCGTCTAGGTTTCTTGGACTTGTCATATAACAACTTGTCTGGCAAAATTCCAGTCGGGACTCAGCTCCAAGGCTTTGATCCCTCTGTTTATGGTGGGAATCTTCAACTCTGTGGACCTCCACTTAAAAAGATGTGTGCTGATGAAGAGGAAAGAGGTCCAAGTGAGCAAACTGACTTCATCAACCAAGAGGACAAGGATGAGCTAATAACACTGGGATTCTACATTAGTATGGGGCTTGGATTTGTTGCTGGATTTTGGGGAGTTTGCGGCACCTTGATATTTTCTAGTTCATGGAGATATGCATATTTGAAGTTCTTGAATGGCTTAAATGATTGGCTTTTTGTGAGGATAGCTTTGTTGAAGCGGCAATTGAAAGATGCTTAATTACAAAAGATCAACGGTAAGTAATCTCTCTTTCTCTCTCTCATAATTTATTATTACTTTATTGACTAAATCAACATGCATGATTAATTTAGTTTTTCTAATTTGTTATGTTCGTACAAACTAACTGGTCTTTTTTTATTATTTTTTTTTTCTTGTGTGCATTTTCGGAGACATGTCTTCCCTTCGATCAAAATGGTGCTGTAATACCCCGAAAAATTCAAGGTGGATTTTCATATTTTAATGAAAAATAATATAATGGTGGAGAATGATTATGGGTATTTTATCAAGTGATTTTGGATTGAGATTATTAAATTAAGTGTGTTTAATTTCAAGTTGGACAAACATGACCAAAACACCCATATGTATGATAGATTACCAAAATACCCTTGTAGGCAAAGAAAAGAAGAGAAAGCAACCTGTAAGCCAAGCATTTCTTCCCTCCTTCATTCTTTCCCCCTTCCCACTTACATTCTCTTCAAAACTCTGATTTTGGGATGAGTTGTAAACCTATAGTGAATGAGTCACCTAGTCTAGCCTAAGATTCTTCTTATCCTCTTCTTCCCATTCATTGTATTATCACCCTCTTCTAAATGGATGACTCACCTATTCTAATTAAGGCTCTTCAATCATAAATTCAATCTTATCCTCATCATTCATTGTATCATCCTTTCTTCCTCATTCACTTATCTTCATCCTCATTTTTCTTTTGTTCCTCTTCAAAATCCAAAATTCGTCACTTCCTTGGAGTAGCCGAGAACTCAAATTTCAGAAGCTCAAACGAGAAAACTTTCTCCATAAAAGTTGTTCATTTACGTAATTCCTATAACATACTCAAATTTTAGCTCAATCAGACTAGTATAGGCTCTAAAACATTGGTATGATCACAATGAGTTTACCATTTCCTGATTTCACAGCAGTATGCTCGGTTTCAGTTTGTTTCTGTGATTTCCTGTACTCAATTGACTTTGGTTCCTTCATCAAAGTTGTTGGAAATGCTGTCTATTATAACATATCAAATTTCAGATTGATCGGACTTCTCTAGCCACCTTGGGAATGTTTAGAGTGGAACTTGTTTATAGTCTTCAACCTTAGGTCCTTCCCTCGTTTTCAGTCCAAAACACTCATTTCAAAAGCTCAAAACACTATGGTTTCTTCATGATAGTTACTCCAAATTCTCCCCTTTATAACATATCCAAAGATCATCCAAACGCAATCATTATAACTCTCTAAAAATTGGTATGAACAAAACTTGTTCAATTGATTATGTTGAATCTCTTGTTATAGATATGTGTACTTTCTCTCAAATGGCTTGTTCCTTATCATTCAATTGCTCAAATTAGCCACTATCATCTCAAGCAAATGGTTCTTTGAAGGCTTGAAGCTCATCTTTTTATTGTCTCTTTGAGTACTAGTTTTAAACTAAGTGTTGGTTAGAATGCATCAAGTATATATATCTTTCAAAGTGTGTTTTTGTGAAGTTCTAGATTATTTCGATGTGATTTTTGTTCCAAATTTCATTTTGGGATTTTGGTACATCAAAATGAATATTGTGGGAACCTAATTAATTCACAAACCTAGGTCAAATAATTCCTTCCATTTGGGGATTATTTGACCTAATCAGGAATTATTCAATTTAATTGGGGGTTACTCAATTAAATAGAATGATTCCTAATTAGGTTGAGGATTGATTTAAATTCCTACGAATATTCTCAATTAATGGAGGAGTTACCTAATTAAATTAGGTATTGATCTGATTGCTATCCTGATTAGGGATTTGATTTAAATCAATAAATCAAATCCCTAATTAAGTAAAATCTTGCCAAATTGGGGAGGAATAATTCCCTTCCATCTACGGAATTATTCCTCTGAAACCCTAGCTCCCGAGACTCCTATAAATACCTAGCTACACACAAGGGTTGAGGTACGTCAAAACTCCTACTGAAACTCTGCAGAAATTATCTCTCAGAAACCCTAGCCACCTCCTTTCTCTCCCTCTTTTACATAAGGCTCCGGCC